AGATCCATCACGGACTCAGTCTGGGTGACCTCCGTGGCTCAGAATACACCTTACCAGCTTCAATTTTTCTACCAACTATGACCATGCATTGACAGGGATAATTTGGCTGTCCATACATTGGCAACGTGACTACTCTTGAGTTTTGTTTGGAAGCTGCAGCTGCAAGAGAGCAAGTTTAAGGGTTTGTTGGTATGTAAAGTTCTAAACTTGGGACCACAGTCTGCTTTCCTCTATACAGATCTAGCTGAGCTTTTTAAGATCTTCCAACCAATTTATCACTTCTTGACAATGCAGAAGCAGGCCTTTTCAGTGGTAGCGTCCACATTCTGGAATGTACTCCCTGGGGTAATTTGTGAGGCAGATACATTAATAACTTTTTAATGCGTCTTTAAACTATATATTTTGTGTACTCTGACTCGTACATTTTCTATTCAGTTTTGTAGTACATTGCTCAGTTTTATCTGTGATGCATACTTTTTGTTTTGTTTTTATCTTTAGGGAATGTTATTGATGGTTATACTTGTGTTTTTCTGGTTTTTATATAAACTGCTTAAGAATTTTTATTATATAAAGCAGCATAATTTTCTAATAAATAAGCATAGAACCTGGAACCAGTAAGCTGACATTCATGAATCCAGGAGTGAGAGAGGCTAGAACCAGTAAGTGCAGACCTGGGAAGAAACAAAAATCAGCACAGAGTACAAGAGTGACAGATTGAGGAATAAAGAAAAAGGATACATTTGGAAAACTGATTTGGATATGAGACAGTCCTTTTTATTTTATTTTAAGGGATCCTAATTAGATATACTTAGTGAGCCAAATGCAAATTCTAGCAGAATTCCAGCTTCAGTGGTAATCTTTAGGCATGAATTTGGGATAAGAACAGGAATCAGTTCAACATGACATAGTCAACACTGCAAATGCATCCATTGCTGTATAGAACAGAATTCCTAGAAGTTAATATAGTTAGTTAATTAAAGAACTAAGATTAAGATTTACCTTTTTTTTTACTCTTCATGTGGTAGCTTCTAAGAAATGATTGAAAGAAACAAATACCAACTTCTAAAAATGTTGAACTAGAAGGCCAGGCTGTAATCTTAACTTGCTTAACTTGCCGTGGAAATGAATGTGGCTTATTTTCGAGTAGTCATAGGTTGGATTGTACTGCAGAATATGAATTACCATGTTCATATAGCTACAAATTTGCATATTCAAAGCTTACTAGAAATTCAGTGGTCCACTTTATTATTTAATTTGGAAAATGAATACAATAAGTATGATATTGTATGTATAATTAGAAGATTGGAAGTAATCAATAGAAAGATGGGCAAAGTATAGTCAAGTCTGAGTCCAAAACAGAATTTTGGCTTAAGTGTCTGTCCTTTTCTTCCCCAGAGGTGAAAGCAAGGGCCCTCTTGGCACTCCTTGAATATACAGGTAATTTTAATGAATCCATTTCAGTATTTCTGTTCAAAGCAGTTGGCTGAGTCTCCCCAAGAATTTTTGTTATATTTTCATGAGCTCAAAGGGCACTCATAAAGATAGAAGAAAATGGAGCATAGAAATTGAGTGGTCCTTATTAAGTGAAGTGAATATATTAAATGTGATTTCCTCCTTTCCTAACTGATGAAGAGTATGAAGAAGTATCAGTCATCTGATAAAGGGTGATACTTAGAAATGGGGGAGCTAGTGCAAAATTTAACAAGCGAAATTAGGATCAAGAAGAGTAAGGAAAAGTCCTAGATACACTAAAATACATCTTTTTTTTTTAAAAAGCAGGGGTTGCAGGAGGCTGAGATATGCAGGCCTATACTGGACAGAACATAGTGATGAATTATCAGGGACCAATCTATAGACTGAACACATATGGCACCCAACTTATTTGGCAGTTTTTAATGAAAGTTGGTAGACAAGAAGCACCAATGTGAACTATAGTTGACTTCCTTGCTCTGCTTCTGAATCCTAATTTAGTCGCCAGTGCCAAGCGATGCAGTGGCATTTGATAACTAAATTATTCATTGTTTAGTGTCAAAACTTTTGCTGTCATCTACAAAGATCGTGAAGGGATGCATACGTGTGACATTGTGCTATCACACATGACAGCCGCTACTGTGTATAATGTCACATTTTGCCCAAGAAAATAATGGCACTGCTTCTTGAAGGAGAGACACAATTCATTGTGCATTTTCTTTATAGTCTATTTATTTCTCCTTATTTATTTTTTGCCCTTCACAGATAGTAAGATACAGCTCAGGCGAGACATGGTCTTTTGCCAAAGTCTGGTGGCCACAGTTTGTGCTTTTTCAGAACAGTTAATGGCTGCCTTAAATCAGATGTTTGACAATAACAAAGAGTGTGAAATGGAGACACAAGAGGCCAGTAGAAGATGGTTGGAACAGATATCCAGTGCTGGTGTCCTCCTTCACTTCCAGTCACTGTTGTCGCCAAATCTGGTGAGAGTTCCTGTGCGCAGCTGCGCCATTCTGTTTAATGTTCTTATTGTCCTGACCAATGGCATCTGGAATTAACATCTGTCCAGAACCTCATAGTGTATTTTCTAAAACCTATACTATTTCTAAAAATATACTACAAGTGCTAAATTTAATTCAAATGGCTCTGTATTCTTCAGGAAGCTGACACATTGAACCAATAGGCAAAGGAAAGGTTTTGCATATTCTATATTTCCCCCCCTAATTTGCATTAATAACATTTGGTTTCCACTGGAAACCCAGTCAAACAGCAACCATCCTGAGGGGCCTCAGGAGTAGAAGTGCTTATTTAAGCATTGTGATCAATTTGTGTTTGGTTTTTGTTTGTTTATTTTTTAAATGTACATTTGAGGAAGCTACAAATGTCTGTGTATATATTACATGTCTCAAGGATAAAATATCTCTGTCCTTCTGGTGATTTTATTTAATGCTTCTGGCTTCAGTAAGAAGCTGAATATAAAGCAAAATTTATATTTTTCTAATCAACATGCTGATAAGCTAGGGAAGGTATCAGAAAATATAATTACTCAGAATCAGATTATTTTATTTCTGTTATAGCTACTGTAAGTTTTACCTTCTGGCAAAGTTCTGGAGGAATGCTCCCCTTGTTCAATAAAGTGCACTGAGAAGATTACAGTTTATTTTATAAGCCACAATAATACACAGAGTTGCATTTTAAAAGTATTAAATATTGTAACACAAAAATCATTTTAAGCATTTAAGCATAGCTTGCTGTGCAGAATTTCTGAGCTTACTCATTTGCATGAAACACAATTACAATTTGATAAGATTAAACATAGCAAATGGTAAATTAACCTGCTATATTTCATCCTTGCTAACAGTCATCTTTTGACAGCAGATGATGGAGTGCAAAGTCAATAGAAATACATCAATCTTCATGCACTCATGAGTTAATTGGGTTAACTACTGAAACAGGATGTGACCACCTGCAGTTAATGTTAATAATGATATACATCAATCTAGTGTCTTTAATAGACTCATATATATATATATTTTAGGCTGATGAACAAGCTATGCTAGAAGACACATTGGTTGCACTGTTTGACTTGGAAAAAGTTACATTTTCTTTTAAACAATCTGAACAAGAGCCTCTAGTTGCAAGTGAGTATTATAAAATAAATGTTCGTCCTTCCATTGCTACATCAAAATATAGTATGGTATAAATGCATAGAAGCTTTATCTTTTCTAACTTGTATCATATCACCTGCGTATGTAATGGTTGGGTGTTTTATATAGCTTTGGAATTAATATAATTTTAGTCTTAAATCCCAGTGCAGATGTCCAAGTCCCAACTTTCTAAACATTGTTAGGTGAATGGAACTTGTGGCTTTCACATACTACCAAAATTACCCAACTTTCCTATTATGGGCGATCCCCTGCCCTTTCCCTTCCTTTAACTTAACAATGGTGCAATGTCATGTGTGCACTGATGTTAATGCTAATTATGGTAACTATAGGCAGCCCAATGAGGTGTATGTGTGTGCTGGAGGCCCAAGTCCCTGGGACCAGGGCCTGAAAGGAATCCGACAGACTGAAAAAGGGCTAGGAGCAGTGGCGTAGCATGGGTTGTCAGCACCCGGGGCAAGGCAAGTAATTTGCACCCCCTGACCCGTGGATTTTAGTAGGGGCAGAGAGCTGCGAGTGCGAGCGCCCCCCCAGATGTTGCGCCTGGTGCGGCCGGCCCCCCCTGCACCCCCCCACGCTACGCCACTGGCTAGGAGCCAGGCGTGTGTGAGCAGTGAGCTCAAGGCAGCGTACATGGTACTCCCCACTCCCATATCATCCTTGCACCAATCTTGTGAAGTAGGTTAGGCTAAGAGATAGTGACTGGTTCAGGGCCATCTAGTGAGCTTCCTGGCAAGAGGGGTTTTGAACCTGGATTTCCCCAGATCTAGTCAACCATTTAGCTACCATACAACCCTGGCTTTCTTCTCTCACACTCAGCTCCTTTCCCACTTCCTCAGCATGAGAAATGTTGGCTCAGTTAATGTTTTCTTACAGTACTTGAAGCTTTTTGTAGCAAAAATACTGACTGGGTGTTAGCATTTGATAAAACTGTAACATTTTTCTTTTCTTCTTTAGATATGCCAATCACATATCAAGCAGAAGGAAGCCGGCAAGCCTTGAAAGTTTACTTTTATCTTAATAGTTACAATTTTGAACAGCTTCCTCAAAGACTGAAGAATGGTGGAGGATTTAAAATTTACCCCGTCCTCTTTGCACAAGGTATGCTGGCAGTCTTCTCAAGCATTCTGTAGGAAGTCATGTTATTTTTGTGTGATGCTAATCGCACACATTGTGCGCGACTACAACCTGATGCAAATTTTAGTGTTCATTTTTGCTGTTGTTGTTGTTCACTTCCAGCTATTTGGACACTGCCTTGAAAGTTTGAACTTGTCATATATATACAGACTGCAAAAAAACCCCCAAACAAACAAAACTCAATACCCAGTAGTTGGTATGGATGAACATCCAATATTGGATGCAGATTCTCCTATCTGCTGGGATTAGTTCATCTGAAAGAGCATGAGACTCTTAATCTCAGGGCTATGGGTTCAAGACCTATGTTGGGTGAAATATTCCTGCATTGTACAAAGGTTGGACTAGATGACCCTTGTGGTTCCATCCAACTCTACAATTCTATAATTATTATTTTATTATTTTTATGAAATAATTTTTATTGGTTTTAGAAATACAAAGTACAAATAAACATAAACTATAAAAACATATCAGTATAAAGAGATTCTCCGAATCACAAGACTTCCCCCCATCCCCTCCATAGGGTCTCATTTTAAACATCTACAACTGCATATTCATCCATACTCCAATTTTTATAGCAAACCATACTGCCCATAGTGATTTTTACACTACAAATGAATCAAAATCCTGCTCTTGTTTCCGTCTGCTTACAGTGGTCTCCTAAGTAACTTATAATTGTTTCCATTCTTTTATAAAGTTTTTATTCTCTTTGTTTCTGAGTTTTCCAGTCAGCTTTGCCATCTCGGCATAGTCCATCAGTTTGGTTTGCCATTCTTCTCTGGTAGAGACTTACAGTTCTGTAATTATATGATATACAGTGGTACCTCGGGTAACATATGCTTCAGGTTACAGACTCCACTAACCCAGAAATAGTACCTCAGGTTAAGAACTTTGCTTCAGGATGAGAACAGAAATTGTGCTCCAGTGGTGCGGCAGCAACGGGAGGCCCTATTAGCTAAAGTGGTGCTTCAGGTTAAGAACGGACCTCCGGAACGAATTAAGTACTTAACCCGAGGTACATTGCAATAAATATCTGGACCTCATTGAACTAGATGAAGGCATGTGAAGACGTGCATTCTTGTCTAGGGTTTAACTATGACTAGAGCTGGAATTAGATTTGGAGTTATTATATGCAGTCATTTTCTATTCTTGCTGAAATGGAAAAAGAAAATGCCTTTAAACTGACCCCTATTCCAGGATTATTGAATAAGCACCTCTGTAGGTTGTACGGTCCCATGCACTAGTTATGACTCTAATGCAAGGATAAGGGTATATAATTTGACCAACATCATTAACTATCTTTTGTACAGAAAGAAAGCTAAGGACTTTTACAGCACGCAAGCGGTTGGGCAAGAAATGAATTATTTATTAACTGGCCATTTAACGAACTTTTAGCAGAATTAATATTCAGTATACAGTTAAGGCTGTGAACCCACATGCTGTTTGCAACAAAATTGTGTTTATTGGGAACATTTTCAAGTTGTTCCCTAGAGGGACAAGTCCTCAAAATTTTATAATATCAAAGTGGTGCGATTCCTAATTGCAAAATCTTTTATTAATATGCTCCTTCCCTCAAATGTCAGTTACCGTGTTCCAATTTCAATGTAATAATGAGATTACTCACCTATTAAGTTCTAATTTTATCAGCTTTAGCTTTGCATAAGTTCTTGTTAAATGAGTAGGTAAAGACTCAGCAATGAATAAAGATTAAGGCTGCAATCCTATGCATACCTAGCTGGATGTGTAAGGAGCATTGCCAATACTTGAAGAATAAATTGAAATGGTTCCTTCTAATTGCAGTGACAGAAACAGTACAGAAATTAGAAATCATATGAAAGAGAGAGTGGGACTATGGCACTGAACCTATTGCTGCGCACTCTGTATTCATTCCACACCATCTATAGGAGGCTGCACATATGTCTGCAGAGTCTGCCGAACACACATAGGCAGCTCCCATGATATGAGATCCTGACTGTGCAGGGTTCCAGATCAAATGGATCCATTCAGGGGGCTTCAGCATATCTTAGACATATTTTAATTGGAAAAGAATCATATAGATACTTATATTAATTTTCTTTTGTAGCCCTAGAAAGCATGGAAGGCTATTATTACAGGGACAATGTATCAGTAGAAGAATTTCAAGCCCAGATTAATGCAGCTTCATTGGAAAAAGTGAAACAATATAACCAAAAACTCAGGTAAGGTAATTGCTTATCTATATGTGTCTTATCCAAGAACTATTTGAGTCACACTCTTGAAACAAGTAAAGGGCAAGTGAAGTCCTATTTAGTGGCTCTCTAAGCACAAGCATCTTTTAGGATTGCAAACTATTATTAACATGCATTGCTATCAACCTGACCTACAAATTAGTTCAGGTAGGAATACCTAAATTTTAGTCAGTATGGCTCCCATGCCCTATTGCAACTCAGCCTAAGCATGTGCAACTGAATAAATGAATATTGCCACCCCTTCCTCTTCTTTGCAAATTTTAGACTGGAAACTCTTCACAGTAGGGAACTGTTCTCTAGTCTCTGGAAAGCACTATGCATACTGATGCCCCTGTATAAACAGCAGCAGCAACATCATTATCTTAAATGCAACTAGTTTGACTAATTCGCTTATTAAAAATAATTCTTAACATTCTGTAGCGTTTCTTGCAAGTGTTTGTACTCTCATATGCAGAAAGACGGTTTGGATGCAATGCTCCAACTTCATAAATAAACTGTAGTTTACAAAGGGAATGAGGACCAGGTCCACATGTACATTCCCCTCTTGTACTGAATCAGTTCATATCCTAATATCCTGGTTAAGAGACCATGCCTGTTGTCTGATGTACATTCTCTGGTTTGTTCTAAATTGTTTTGTTATATTTTAATATTGTATGATTATATGGTTGCAACCACCACTGGGATCTTGTGGTGAAGGGTAGGTAAGAAATTGCTGAAATATTAAACCAGGGTTCCCCATTTTGGACATAATAGGTAACTTAGAGTTAGAACACCACCAGGATTTCCTTGCTGAAGCCAGCACAGGAGGAGTGGAGAGGTGGGGCAAGGGAAGGGAGAAGCACACATACCTGATGTTCATTTCAAGCTTCATAAACATTATGATTCTCTATAATTTTAATATAAACTGATACAAGTAGTTTGCCAAATGTTTTGAAGGAAAACAGGAGACAAGACAGAGTTAACTAGGCTGCAGGTTTAAGCATCTACAAGATGGGACATTCTTCCAAACCCTACTGACCTAATTCCATTCCAATGCACACCATGCTGCTTCTGAAGAGACAATAAAAGCCAGTCTGCTGTGAAATTCCTCACTTCCCATTTGCTCCAGATTTCAACATATACATGGTAGCCTATAAGGAACACACTGTGTACTAGGTGAAAAACCAGGGTGCTGCAATCAGCAAAGGCATGGTAATAGTCAGGAAACTACTTACCTTGAGAATTTAGAAAGGTGCAGATAAATCTTTTAGCATCTGCCCTAGTCTCATTTTAATGGCTCTATATATTCTTGTCAAACTTTCAGCCAGATTGCTGTTGTGTTTTATAATTAGACTTTACTAGTTCTGTTTCCTTGGCATTTTTGCAAGAAAAATGGTATGCTGATTTTCTGTTTTCAAGTTGGGGGAGAGGTTAATGGTGTAAATTTACCCTGACCTTATGTTTTGCTGCTGGGAAGATGCTGCTCAAAAGGGAGAAAGTAATTAAGTCAGCAAAGATTTTTAAACACCTTTATTGCAGTATATATGAAAGCTCAGCAGTTATTAAGAGCTATGGGGAACTTAGTGATACATTAGCAAAAATTTAGGCATAGCATTATAAACATAGTATAATTACAGGAGCTTTTGATTAAATCAGTTAATCTCGTCATAATCTTGGGAAATTAGGTGAAAGGAAGAAATCCAATACAGTAGTAATGCATTACCATAAATCAATTCTAAAATGAAATAAAATTTTATTTTTTTCATATCTCTTGCTCTTTACATCTGATTTTCTCTTTTATCTTATGGAATCTAAGTGGGCCTGGCTCCAGCATATGCCATATTGGCCCATCCTCTTTACCACGGCCATGGCAGCCAGCAAGAACTTGCAGGACAGTGCTAGTTGGAGCTGAAGGCTGCATGCCAATACTTTCCAGCCTTACCATCTTAACTGTGGCAGTCCTGTTTTCAGCTCCTCCAATACTCACCACAGGAGAGCCTGGCTATTACAAGGGCACTTGTGTGGGGACCACAGAAGCAGAACTGATTCGAGCACTGGGTTGCATGCCCAAACTCCCTGGTGTCACTGCCTTACTTATGCACACACCAGGAGCAGCAGAATTAATGTGAGTGAGAAGTTTGGGGACATCATATGCAGCTACAATATCGTAGGCTGGCAGCTGACCTGTCTGCAATCTAACCAGGGCCTCCAAACTTGGAATGCGCGAGAGTAACTACCATGTAATTTGGGTAGTAGATTCAGAACTATATCTTATACAAGCTGCTTAAAACATTGTGGAAAATGCTTCCCCGTGGCCAGTGTTCTCCATTCTTCTGTGGAAACAAATGTGGTCCTTCCCAAGCATAAGATGCAATCCATTTGAAGAATATTTTGTGTGAACTCATTTACAGAAAACAAATCTTCTGCTAATAGCTCCCTATCCACATGCCTCTTTTGACAATTTGAATTCTCCAGTTGTGCACTAGAGCAAAATTGATAAATGAATTGCTTTCAACCAGGAATAGTTAATTACTATTTCAACTTTATGAAAAATATGCCTTTCAGCTGAAAGCAAACCTGATTTGCTTAATAGTTATTTGCATTTATTCAAATAAATATTTTTAATGGATTTTTGCCCTCTTTTATTTCTTACAAGGAAGTCTTCCTTGTGTAAGAAAAATAAAGTTTAGAAGTCTAAAACAGCATTTCCCAATCATACTACAAAATAAATAATTATGGAGATCATCCGTCTGCCATGTATTTTTCTTACTGAAAATTTCTTCCGGTCTCTTATATTTTAATAGAATTTTAGAAGCAAAGGAAATGTTGATTGCAACAACACAGGTGAAAAGGTTGGGCTATACCAAAATCATCTGGTTGGCAAAGGGCTTCTGCCTGTACAATAGGACTTCTCCCTGTTCTGGGGATTTCCCAAATCCTTTTTATTATCTGAACAGTAGAGATACTGAGAAAGCTCACTTAGTAACTCCATCTTCTTTGTGAGGATAAATACGTATTTTGTCCTCTATAAGTACTTTTCCCCTTTTCTTCACTTTTCAGAGTTAAGCAGGGGTACAGTATGACAACTACACCAATGATAATTCTAACAA